AATATAACCCTTTTACTACCTTCCACATTTCAAACTACTCGACCAAGTACTCGACCGGATTTTCAAACTACTTGATCATGTGTTGGATTGATGTCCGTCAAATGTGTGTTATGGTTATTTGTGAAGTTGTAAATGGAAAATAACAGGTAAGGAGAAAAGATTAAATGACTCGTCTTCAGACCGGTATTCATATTAAAGAAAGTTGTAAGAGATATGTACATACCTATTCAATATCAGCTTTTATTTTGAATTGTAATAAAATTTACCTTTGCGCGTTCTTGGCGGGCGAGGGCAACATGGAGAGCGGTGCAGCGGGTCTCACCGGCGATGACACAGGCCGTGGAATCTTGGAGCCCCGCGCAGCCGCTGGTGATGTCTCTCCTGGACCAATTAAAGAGTACTTTAAATAAGTGATTAAAATATGTAAATATTTTTAACTGCTATACAAATTCCAAACACTCTTCTTAGCCTTAGTTATGTCTCTATATTAAATTTCACTTATTCTGTCTTACAGTTATTTTGAACGGACGATGAAAATCATTAAAAATTCCTAAGTCCTAGAGGCAGGAAATAGTTGATTTGCATTTGACCAATATGGCGACTGCCGTCTATTGTCTACGCTTGATGCACGGTACTCTTCCAATAGGAATAGTTTCACTAACCGGTGTGCTAAGAAAAAATAGACGAAGACATTGAACTTTGAGTAACTAGTGTGTTCCGGTATGACTTCATCGCCAGTTGACACAAAAAGACATTGGCAACACTGCCAACTGACCACATACATCTAAGCGGAATTATTTTTACAACATTTATTTTGTGTAATTAATTTGCGTTTTGATTCTACATATTATGATCGTTATGAGATAAATGTCGTTTAAGAGAGTGTCCTATGCATGGAAAGGCTATGAACCGTGGTATTTTGTGCCTATTTGAATTACGCCATTTTTCATTTTCGCTATTATGGCGTTGACCATAGCGGTTTTAAGCAAAACCTGACATTTCCAAACAAAAGTTTATCACATTTATACAAATCAGTGTGGATATCAATGTTATCTTTTGTTTTGATTGCACACATCGAAGTAATCCTTTCTTTTAGTCTACCTGTCTCTTTCCAACGTACCTGAAGGCGTGCCGGGGCTCTCCGCGTTGCTGAGCATCTCCCACTTGAGCTGCAGCCTGCGGAACTTGCCGCCGGTGTTGCTGCCTGCGCCGGTGTTGCCGCTGGCGCAGCTGCCTGCGGACCCCGGCCGCCACTCTTCGCCGCTGCACTCCAGCTAATGAAGAAATTAAAAGTTAAAAAGCAAAGCTCTCTATATCTATTTGTTCAACATTGTGTTCGGTTCAGTAGAATGTTTTATTTCCTAGGGATAATTTACTATTCTTTAAAGGATTTCACGAGCTACTATTGTTACAGTGCTGCTGCTAATAGCCGATAATGTTTAAGTATACATACAATTAGAGGATCTATCTTCTAATCATAAGTCACTACGATTTTTTTATAATTTAATTTGTACCTATGTTTACTTAATTATTCATATTAATAGCTTTAACTACATTTGTCAAAACGAATGCGTTCATAATTGTGTCTATCTAATTTCAATTGTTAATCTTTTCTATTAAAGCAACCACCCTACCAACTACACTTTATAGGGTCTTTCTTATAATAATATTATATCTTGACCTAATACTCTAATAAAATATTTCAAAATACATCAAGGCTAATGTGTCACAACTAGGAGGCGTAGTGAGTGCGTTACATTAACCAATGGTTAGTAACAAACATGTTGAATCACCAATACATACCTACGTCAAATAACATCCTTCGACAAAACAACATCTTACAGACTAAATATACAAAAACAAAATCAGTGCAATGGCGAAACGCCTAGATATCTAAATAACCTTAAACACTCTGCAAATAAAAAAACACGCAAACTAAAAGCTTTAACACGTAGCAAATAAAAAATACCTATAACACGAAACAAAGACTGAGTACGAAACGAAGCACACAATGTGTTCCCCACACATGCCTTAGGATTTACCTTTAGGTCGGTACCAGCTTTGGCGGCGGGCTTGTTATTCTCTAAGCTATCTGTGTAATCATCACTGTCATCAAAGACAAGGCGGTCGAAGGCCTGCATCAGCTTTGAGCCAAGCTGCACGCCCGACCAGCGTCGGTTGGCCTCCAGCTCAATGCGGCTGTTGTTGGGACAGACATCGTGGCCCACCGGGCTCGGGTTCACGCACGACCGGGGCCGGTGTCTCTCTATAGTGGTCTTGACGTTGGCCGAGTCGTCGAGCAAGTCAGGCGTGGACGGCTCCTTGTTTTTGGGCTCTTTGTGCCGCATTATGACGCTGGTGAGACAGTCGTCGCTCGACAGCCCGCTCGATTGCATCGACCGCACCAGCTTGAGCAGATTCCTCTGATTCAGTGTTAGTGGTGGAGTGTTAATTGCGCTCGGCTGTTAAATACACCAAAGTACTCTTTTAGTTCATGCATCATGCCGTCGATTAGTTGAAATCTCCCAGCCTCGAAACGTTATCGCTCCTTTATTTGCATTTTATGTAAGCTGTGCACGACAGTGATTTCTAGAATGTCTCGGTTTACGTAACTCCGTGAATCCTAAGCACATGCAATAAATAAAATGCAAATAAAGCGATGTTTGGTAGAGTTTAGGCGGCGAAATGTGTTTTCAATGCGAATGACTAACTCTACTTACCATAGACGATTTAAATTAGACGTGTTATTTTAAATTATCTGTGTTAATGAATAATATAAAAGTAACTTACTCTGCTAGCGGCGCGCATGTCGCTTTCGATCCTCTTGAAGCTTCTGTGAAGTTCTCTCATTTCGAACATGAGGTCTAGTGAGAATGGCAGCAGTTTCAAGGGTTCCAGGCTCGCCAGTAGCGTGTCCAACAGCGCTTTGCACCGCGGTTCCCCGATGCAGCCCGCTAACATGAGGGAATCTGGTCCGTAATGCTTGGCCAAGATGGATTCTCTCGTTTTGACATAAGACACCCAAGCGTCCACTGTTTGTGCACTGCAAAATAGTTTATCATTAATTCATTGCTTTAAAATGGAAATATTTATAAAAGAAACAATTTCTATGACATAAAAATATTGCTTACTTGAGAAGTCCCAGTATAAAGGCATTAAATTTGACAAGGCCTTCTGTTACGGCGTCTTCACTGTTTATTCTTAAAATTAATTCATTGAGAGACTTTGTAATTGGACCTAAAATGGAAACGTAAATGTTAAAATTCAAAATTAAAAGTAACCGTTTTCTATCTCGTTTTAACGAATTCCTCTTACCTTGCCTTGCTGTTGCTTCAAGCATTTGCCAAACGGAATTATCAACAGCTCCGAATGATGTTTCAATACTCTCTTTCAGTCCGTCTCTGAATATCGCATAAAGAGCAGGACACAGTGCGTTCAGAGCTATTTTAGCGCAGGCCGGGGAGTGTTTGGAGTCTCCCAGAAAAGTCAACTCCGCTTGATCAGTCGCAGGAGAGAAATGTTGGATCAGCATTTCAACGGCATCCGTTACATTAGAAACGAGTGCTAAAGAAAGGTAAACGTTATAAGAATACTTTGATTAAATAGTAAGAAAATATGACCAAATATGAAGCAACCTGTACCTCTCTTTTGTGATATATCAATAACATCATATTTTGGCCTTCCTTCCTGATGAGTTATTGGTTTGTTAAATTCATCAGGGCTCACTTCTCCTTCCTCACAAATAGGTATCTCGGCCAAGTTCTTCGCCTAAAATACCGAATTTTTAACGTGGATAAAATGTTTAAAATATAAAGTAAAATATAAACATATCATCGCAAATGAAGGAAGCATAACGTAACAAAAGAAATAAAACGAAGCTTACAACAGAAGAAATAAAACAATCAAATCAGTCTAGCTTTACACAGAAGTAATAACAAAATAGAGATAATAACGAAAAGAAAAATAACCAAGGATACTTACAGAACATAACGCATAATACGATGCGGGCAAGAGATTTTACTTTAAATATTTTACCTGGTATAGTCTCTGTTTTATAGCAGCACAAATGTTAGGTGAATTTGGTGGGGTAGAAGGGCTTCCTACTTTATAGTCATCCATGGCCTTCAATTGCAACGGTTGACCCTCAACTATGGCATCAGACTTTTGTGCAAAGCTGACTGATTTCTTGCTATTGCAGCTACTCCCACTGGAATCTGTGGATCGCTGATTCTCTTCTTGAGATCGCTTCATTTGGAGAAATTTCGTGACCTGACTTCTTACCTTTTGCACTTGATTCTGGTCCCATTCGTCCATGTTTTGACAGTTAAAACCGCTTTCTTTCAGAAATTCTTCTAGCTGCTGTAAATCTGCACTACTGATTAATGCGCCAGGGGGAGGGAAATCGATGTATTCAATTTTCTTTGTCCTCGGTTTAGGCATCGGCGGTGTACGAGGTCGGTAGTATTTTAATTCATTAGATTTCCCCGACTCCAAGCTGCTTTCTGTCCCGACCCCTTCGTCTTGGTAATACTCATTGTAATCGGCATCTTTATCAGCTGCATCCAAAAACTGCTGCGAGAGTCGCTTAGCTGCTAGATCATTATTTTTTCTATAATCTGGAGCCTGATTTTGCAAGTAATAAGGCTCCTGAAGAGACCGCCTCTTCGTTTTTTGTTCTGTTATAGCAGTAGCGCAAACAATTGGGTCTTGCATGAACTCGTCCAACTCGAACATGCTGTAACGTTTTGTTTGTGCGCTGGATTTTCTAGTTTTATCCATCGATTTGCGTAATATGCTTTTCGGTAGCGGCGGTCTGGGGGGCGCTAATTCGGATTGTTTCGGCAGTCTAGTTTGGTCGGCTAAGCTGAACGACCTCTTTGGAACTGAATGGCTTGTTCTCTGGCCATCGGCATTGGCGCAGCTCGCTTCCGAACTTGTGGCGGAATCGTATCGATATACAAACAATGGATTGAAATTTCCCGCCGGGGCTGGGCTATTTTGTGCTGAAGAATCGGTTAACATCGTGGATGATCCTCTGTAACCTGAAGACGGTTGGGTGGCTGTGCTTGAACTTGAAGAGACTGCTGTTGTGTTTCCTGCCAAATTGTTACAATCACAACTTAATGGCCTATTTTTAACTTTAGAGAATGGGGAGGCATTACAGTACCTATCACTACATTTCGACATACCTTCTTTCTCTTTTATGTGTTGCGCCAGTTCCGGCATTTCGGAGAGCAGTTGTTTACACTCCACAGGTAATAAAAAGTTGAGGGAATCCCAATCCTTGATGTGACCAAGACCTTTTTTCTTTAGTACTTCCATATCATTACACGAAAATGGTCTTTTGCCTTTAAGTTGTATTCTGGCTTTCTTACCGTCGGTTGACTTTGGAGAAACGTTTACTTTTAATGGGTTTAAGTAAATGTTCGGCCTACCGTTCAAAAAGCTTATATCGGGTAAAGTATAATTAGGATACAAGACGAAAACAGGTTTTTCACAATCGCCTTCCTTTAATTTTTGTAGGAATGATGGTTCCACAACTTTAAACAATTCTCCATCTTGTGACACGTTAGAAGCTTGCATATGAGAAGTTTGTATACTTTTGTCTATCGTGTCACTATCTAGATGAGTTGATGTTGATTTATTATCATAGGGTTCCTTTTCAACAACCTTGTCCATTCTTGTGATTTGTGTACCATCTGATTCCGAGCAACTTGAAATACTAACACTTGTGGCAGAGGATTGAGAAGAGTAGGATTTTTTTGTAAGTCTTGTTTTAGATGGACTATTTACGTTAAGACTTGCCCGTTTAAAATGTGGCTTATTAACTACGGCATACAGGTTAGATTCGCTATCACTCAATTTAGCTCCATCTGCAGTTTCTTCCTCCTCAATTACTTTCGTTGTTCTTATGTAAGTATTAATCGGCTTAATTTCTTCATAAACAAGCGATGTTTCCCCTTCATCATTAGGTAGATCGATTTGTGGCCTCTCTGATGCCGATCGAATCCTTAAATCTTCTAGTTTTTGTTCCCCCATCGACTCAGCACTTTCACCACCAGAGCTCGACGGCCAACATTCGGATCTATCGAGCTGGTCCATGGTGACTATTCCATCGTTACTGATGCTTTTCTGTTTCATAAATAATTTAACTAAATTGAAAGATTGTTTAGGTTGGCTTTTATCTGAGGAAGTTTGATTGTCAGTAGAAGATGTGCTCATAGGTTCCGAGTGTTGGCTACCGTGTGAGGATCGATTTTGTGATACATCGTATACCTTCATGCACGTGGATGTGCCTGTTAGCCTCTGATTGGCCGTGAAGGAATCGACCTAAAATGAAAATGTGTTAAATACTTACAAATTGCAAGACAAACAAAGAATCATGTATCTCATAAGCACTATAATACGCACCGTTGAATTGCTCAGAGCGACCGAGGCGATCGAGCTATTCATTAATTTTCTTCTATAAAGATTTGGCAAACTTTGGCTTTTTATTACTGAATTGTTCATTTCGCTTGTTACATTAGTCGTATCATTAGAGTCTCCATTATTATTGCCTGAGGGGTGCCTATAGCGGAAAAAGAATTATAATAAATCTAAAAGAAGACATAACGTAATATTATCCATCGTATTTGTACCAGAGCATAACTTACCTCCTTAAAGGTGACTGACTGGTTTGTTTCTTAAGTTTACTCCACGTAGTTAATCCTAAATCACTTTTAGCCATTGAAGTTGTAAGCTTATTTGTCAATTTCTTACATCTCTCTAATAATTCTAAATTCCTGCGCGTTCTTTCATCATTATCTATCGCTATGTTAGTTTCTTCCTTACCCAATTTGTCTGCAAAGATATGAACCGAATTAGCTAGAAGCTTATCATGGATAATGAGTAATTTTAATTCGTCATGTGGTTTTCAAACATTACGTCATGTTACTCAGGAATATAAACACATTTCAACGCGCGTTTGAAATTTCAAATTGATCTAAATTACTTTACATGTATAAATACTGCATTATTTGACACTCTTTCGTTCTAATAGTTTGTATAGTTTCTACCGATTGAACCTTTGAGGTTATCAAATTTGATATCCCGAGTTTACATTTAATAAAAATATTATTATAATCAGTCTTGTAAATATTAAACAAACCTTTGTGGCACCAATATTTTAAATCTAGAAACCGTATACGTCCCATAAAATCTACCTACTTAGAAAAACTCTGAATATAATTATCCTTTGTCATATAGACTCACACTATCATCAGCTCACTATACGTCCCCACAGAGGGATCGGAGCCTAACCTAAATTAGGGGTGACCCACTATATCGTGGAACAATTTTGTTACTAAAACTTCCAGTTATTAATTATAATTTACCATGTGTTTGATTGACGGCGGGTTCGGCACATTCACTGTCCTCGGAGTAAATGGTTACGCTGCCCTCAAATGCGATGGTGTAGTTGTCCTTGTTGGCTTGACAGGTGAGGATGAGGTCCTGCTCCGCCGGCAGCTCGCAGTCCAGGCTATCCACGCTGAAGTGCACCCCGTGCCCCTCCTTTACCGGTGAGAACAGCAGCTCCGACTTGCAGATCGACATCGTGTTGATAGAACCGACGGACTCTTCGCCCTGTTTGATAAAACCCGCAGGTTAATCAGTTACCGTAGGTTTCTCAGACCAAAATTTCCGTTTAAAACACATTGTCATCTCTGTTTTGTCTAACAAAAGACAGAGATATGTTTTATACAGAGGTTTTGGTCTCAAAAACCAAAGGTTTGTTCGGTAAAATAAACTTTGTGAAAGCAATAAGCTTGTTGCGTTGTTACGGCGAGTTTCCACTGTTAGAACACCTCAACAACAACAATATTTTCATCTCTTTCGTTTGTTTAAAAACTAAGATAATAATACATAGTTGTTTTTATGTTTTTATGCAGGTGTTGAAACAGTTGAAACTCACAATTACAACTTTACTTTCGGCTCTTTAGTTAGACTAACATTTGTGTTTAATTGATTACAAAAGTACATTGATATAGATGTGGACGGTGTTTATCTATATGGGCGATGTATTTGAGTTCATTCCCGGAAAGTTTCGAAACGTAAACGTTGCTTTAGTCGGAACATAAACACTGGGCTTACACAACATGTATATTTGGATCGTCTGGTAGACGGGAACTAAAAAGCCTTGCATCTAGTGCATTCATAAAGTACCACAACATTGAAGACAACGACAACATATTAATAAACAACACAAAAATACACAAATATATTTGAATTTTCATATTATACTCACTAAATATGCTGCTATATGTTTACAAAATACATCCATTAAATTAATGAGTTTACGTCTAAATTATGGCGCCATATTATATCAGTAGGCACTTATCATGTTATTTTAGAAATTAAACAATTCTCAACCAAGCTTGTAAATATACCTATACTATACAGACTTCAGGATGCATGAAACATTAGTTATGTTTTTCCCTGACCACATCGCAAATCAGTTTTCGCTGACGTCTTCTACATTAAGCAAATAGAGCAAACTGCATAACTTTGAAGTTCTCTAATAAAATATTTTAATAATTTTTTAAACTAATGATAACTTTTATAATTTACGTTATGCCACACCAGCGATCTAAACTTGAGCTTGTAATGTAAAAACGTAAATCCACACTAAAATGCACTATCTGGTTTCCAGCGTGCGTTTATATTTTCCCATTTGTAAATCAGCTCTGGAATGCAAACTAGGCATAGTTTTACACAATGATACTCTTTAATAATATTGATGATTGCTTAAACTGATCAATATTACCAGGGATCGTGGCACAGTAAAAACATTTTTAAGAGATGACGACAAACACAAAGATGTTTGCGTATATTTTGGCAACGAAACATTTCCTCCTACATCAAATTAAAATAAGTTTAAAACTATGACTTTTAAATATACAAATGTGAAATATTGTGAGTGGCAATGAGTACATATTGTACAAGTAGATGTCGGTCCGGGACGGGCGTTATCATCAATTTAATTCCCTTTCCTGCTACAATGAGGTCACAAATCAAACAACGACTCATGCACTTCAGAACAACGTACTCGTGTACACAAGAGTTAAAAATATAGGGGGCTAGTTTGGGTTGTGTTGTTAAATGAGGGTATTTTTAAAATTTTTATAAGATTAATTAATATTTGAAATGTTTCGTGCTTTGCTGATTGTTAAGTATGCTGTATATTAAATTAATGTTAGTAATATAATATTGCTTTTTAAATAATGTGATTATAATGTTATCAGACTAAATAGATTATTTTATTGTAGGTACTTAGTAATAATGAATTCGCTTGATAAAAGAATGCAAGTAATTTGTGAAATAATACATTTTTGCATACAAAATACGAGAACAAACTTACGGAATAATATCCATAGTAGGTTTCCCAGTCATATTCAGTCACACCCATTTTTAATTTGTCCAGTTCAAAGTCTGTTAGGAAACGCGTTCACTAAATCAACGAACTACTATGCTACGAATAGATTTTAGCCCTATTCAATTTACGCAATGTTCACACTTTGCACTGTCCTAAATAATTATAATAACTCACATAATTATAAATGTACTATCTAACGCACACACAATTGTTTATGAGTTCTTGTATAGAGCACAAATATAACTTTAAAAAATCACATGTGATCGATTTCATTGCAAGGAAGCGCAGAGTACAACAGTCCCGAAAGCCCAGGGCGCTACTGGGACAGTAAACTAAATTTAATATTAGCCGCTGCATGCGGTGCTCAAACTGTCGCTAAATGTTTAAGAGACTCGCACGATACCGTTTTGTTTAACATCCCGAGTCGAACTACTATCTATGAGATGACGTGAAGTCTATAATTAGATAATTAGATATCCGGAGGGCAATAAGTGTTGGTCTAATTATCAATATAATGATTGTTTACACATGATAAGTAAACAGCAGATGTTTGTGAAAGTAATTAGTTTACACAATTTCGTGCGCAGTGTTGTTAAGAATAACGTCTAAGAAAAAAGTTTGAGAATGACTGCCGCGATGAATAAACTTCATTGGCGACGCACACATGGCGGCAACATGCGTACGCACACATTGAAAGCTAGTGTATATTTATAGGACACACACACATAAGTATCATGGAGGGAATGACTGTATGAACGGGGGAATAAAGCGTAGTTGATATGATTGACGCAATTCGGCGCGGACGATGTATGTTGTACAGTTTACGCACACATTTGTAAAGATCTTATTTTAACTTTACTACTGAGCACATCCCGTGGGATCTACGAGCCATGGGGTTGCGTATAGAAGTCTGTTATGAATGCTTGCCAAGTATCTTGGACTTTCCACTCATTTTTACAATCGACCCGACAATTCGGTAAAATAGCTCTCGAGATGTTATATAATGTCAATAAAAATTTTACATAATTTTAATAACATTTTAATAAACATAAGAGGTGTTTATATTACAAATATGAAATACAATTCTAAGTTAAGGAGTACTTTGACATAAGTAGTTATTTGTGTTAATTACCTGTAAAAAAGTCGGTGTTCCTCCCATGGTTGACCACTAATTTTCATTTTGCAAGAATTGTTAATGATTTCGTATTCTCTCTAAAGCGATCCCAGTCTGGATAGATAGTTTCCATATGTTTTCGAAATGTTTAACACTCAGAACACAGACAAACGCAATCTTCACTTAACAATAAAAATATGCTTGAATGAGGGTAAGTATGAATCTTATTAACATAAAATTTTTGAGAATTATTAATTACCCGCTCTAAACAAATCAAGAAAAATTTAATATATTTTTTTTCCAAACATAACATTTGGTTAAAGTTTGGTTTATGAGGTAAATTTAATTAGTGCTGCCATCTAGTAGTCAGTAATAAAAAAATGTGATAGTACAGATCTTGTATACTAGATGGCAGTGTCGTAAAACAATTATGTTCTATGCCAAACGCAAGTGTCAAAGTAAAGAAAATATAATATAATGAAATGTTTAATTTTAAACATTGCTAAAGCGGGGAAATCAACCGTTACCCCATTCCGATTTCCATATAAGTACATTTTATAAACGCCAATAAAATTATTTCCTCCTACGTTATTAGAGGAGTTTTACTTTACTTAAAAAAAAAAAACATAAAACTGAAGTCAAGTGTTTCTTTACCGGACAATTAATAGTTGTAATAAAATAACAAGGACCTAAAATAACATCAGATAGTGTTAAAATCTTGCATTTGCAGATAAGTTGTGTATAAAGACAGTGTGACAGTAATTAGGAAATAACATTGAGAGAATGTTAGTGACAAATAGAATAACATTGTAATGAAATTAGATGCAACATTAAGCAAAGCGTTGCGAACCTGTAAACTACTGTTGTCACTAAGAGAACTGTCGAAGCGAAATCTTTCCATGAGGGAAGTTGAGATACTGGCAAACATCTCGCCCCGGGGGTTACTCTGCAATACACCACTATAACTTAACCACCAAATTAGTATGGAACTGAAAAATAAACATGGTACGGAATGCAACAAAACATAAAATATTTAAATAAATTAATAAACACCAAATCCAAAAGTAAAATACATACACCTATTAGATGCAGTTATATGGTAGTTATTTTTTTATATTATTCGATATTTTAGTAGTTAACAAAATAAAATTCCATCCTTAGAAAAAATATATAAATTTAAGTGATATTAAACACAATTAAATTACCTTTTCTTAAAAAAAACCTATGTTGATTTTAATTTACCTCATACTATCATTGATGATTTAAAAAACAGGTCTTTTGTACGTATATTGGAAATATATGGCATATCTTTGTAAATTCCCCGTGAAAATAACGTGAAAGCAAAAGGAAGGCTCCATATCATTCGCGATGTTCCCATTAAAACTTAAAAGATTGGCTTTAAACTTTTATGTTTGCTGCGAGATCAGAATTTATATCTTTATACTTGCGAAATATTCTACAGTAATAAATTGTTTACTTTCGTAAGGTTAAACAGACATGAAATACCGAATCCTTCGTTATTTATTTTATTTACCTAAAGAAACATATGGTCAGTCATTACAAATTTTTGTTTAAAAAAAGACAAACAAATGACAAGGTGAAATCTCAATAACGATTAGTTTTTTGTTGTTGTTGATCATCTTTTGTTATCTTACTTTAGTATTTTCTATACTTATATTTATATAACTATTATTAAGAGACACCAATGCTTTATTTGATTAAAAAAATATTCATCTAATTCATAAAGATATATAAGATTATACATTTAGATTTGCACCTGTTAGAGCCAAATAATACTTGAATATATCGCGAGTTTCTGACACCGAAATATCCACAAAAAAACAAATCTCTGTCATTATCTCATCAAAAACAGAGATAACAATATAGTTGAAACGGGGATTCAGGTCTTAGAATCCCACGGTTAGTAAACCAACTTAATTGGGATATTAGGAAAGTATCGGCTGAGAGCATCTTCAAAAATCTTACAAGAAGACGGTTAGGAGAAGGTCACAATTGGAATAATTCACTCGTGTCAGTTTCTTGTTTACTTACATCGTTAGTTCTATCGTCTGCGATGACGTCATGCGGCAAGTTGGCGGTCATGAGGAGGGCATGTATATCTTCTGTTCTGAAGCTCTCCATGTCCGCCTCAGCGAGGTTGGCGTCCAGGTCCCGCGCGAGATCGTTGTAGCGGGACGTGAACTCGAACCGGGAGCTAAGTTCACTTATGCCTTTGTACGACGCTGACAACGAAGACAGCACGGACGTGTGGTGGCACGTGCTGTCCCGGAAGATAGGACTGGAAAAGAATTAACAAAAGACGATTATTGGGAGAAATCTGCATGCTTAGTTTAATTAAATTTTGTTCCAGTGTATTGATGTGTATTGAATCGCCGATCTTGGTCCGTACGTAAGTAGTAAAACATCGATTTCTTTGTTTTTTTTTTAATAGATTTGTGCTACATCTACTTTACTACATTGAAAGACCAATAGAATAGCGAGTACAACAACATTAGTTACAATACTAATCACAGATTATGTACATTTACAATAGTTTGCAATAGTAACAATGGTGTATTTCTTGGCGGGTATCTAGAGCCAGTTCCAATAATGGACGGCGAATAGCCCCAGCTTGCGGCGTCTTGCCTAAATCTAGGTTAACGCGATACAGTATAAGGACACGCGACTTATTGTTTTGTTTTTTTTACAGCTAATTCATATTTAAATGAATAAATATTCCTACAATCAGTTGGTGAATTTATTTGCAGTCTTATTGCATACTAAGTACGTGTATTTTTTAAACTAAAGTGAGAATGTTTTTGTGAACTCCGTTAAAATAATATCGTGTGATGTTATTAATATAAACTATGTATTATGCAATAACAAATTATACGAATGTATGTTTTCATTGTTTATAAATAAAATTCCTTACACTTAGCAGAAACAAATGTTCCCAAACTGGCTATCGAATAACAATAAACACAAATTATGTTTATCAGAACAAAGGCGTTTGCAATGGCTTCCATTTCTAGCAGGCTTTGGAAAGATACAACAGTGAAATAAATTGTGATGGTTTTCACAGTATCCTAAAGTAGAGAAGATAAAGTTTAAGTGGCACCTTAGATTGCCATTTTAGTTATTCGTAGTGTTGCAATACTTTTTTTTATTTAATTTTGAAATATGTCAAAAAAAAATTGAGTGGTCACATTGCGGGTAAAGACTTCGACAAGATGAGCCCTGTTTTTAAAGTTTGGATGTGACTGTATTGTAAGATTCAAGCTTTATTGCGGCTCGTGATCTGCGAATGCACGTTTCGATGGAATTTGGGTTAAATGAAGCTTAGGGATAGTTACTTGTAGTCGAGGAACCACAGGTATCCGGAGTTGTCGCAGTGCGCGTCGAGGTCGTCGTGCGCGGAGTGCTGGCTGCCGGCGAGGCTGGTGTTGCTGTTGCAATCCTCATCCGCACACCCCGCGCCCCCCGCGCCGGGGCTCGCCGCCTTCAAGCCCAGCCGTGGCGGTGGCCCTGCAATTATACCACACAATACATTTAACATAAATCGTCTAAAAGTCAATGAAAGGACAATTCATAGTACACTTTTTTCTGAGGTCTTAAATATGACCACGCAATCAATGCGAGTTACCACCATTGCGTTCTATAGTTAAGACAGATAAAGACTTAAAATAGCTTACAATAGGAATGGAAATTTCAGGCAGATAGCATTGCATTCATTTTTATAGTTTTAAGGCGTCATATACCTTGTATATAACAGTTTGACTTAGTACTTAATTTATCATATTAAGTTAATCTAAAAATAAATCAAATAGGTGTTACTTTGTTATATAATCGTAATCACCAAAGCGTGATGGTCATGAAATATGACTATTGCAGATTTTAATATCATTTTATCATCAAATACATTTGAAACGGAATAGAGTCAGCGGTGTGTATCATTGTGTAATTCTAATGCAAAAATTATAAAAATTATCATTGTTTCTTTCAACACTAGAGACATATGCGTTACTTTTAACATAAAGGCTTTAATTTTGTACAAAAGAACCGTTAGAATAAAAGAGTAAAGGCACAATCAGGTTAATGCGTCAGCCTATTTCCAGCAGTGCCTTTCATAAGCCTTTGGCGTACAATGCTTTAACATTTTGTCGAAAATAAAGATGCCTACTCATTTCATACAAAAACAGGCTATTACATATTACAAAGACGGCTTATGAACCACGTAATGTGGTAAATTATTACCTTAAGTATGTACAATATAGGAAATGATTACACTTTGTACTGGAAATAAAAACAAAATTAAAATGCGCTTGTTGCGAAGACCTTGAACAAACAAAAACCGGACACGCATCAGAAACTACGTCCACTTTACATCTAGAATTTTAAAACGTGTAATACTATACGCTGTTACAAAAAAAAAACCTAAAAGAAAACAAAGAACTAACGTGTCATGTAAAATTTTGCGGATTCCAAATTATTTGCAGTAACCAATATTTTTCAATTCTGGTTACTGCAATAATAAAATTTCAATGTATAAAATAGTGGAATAACCTTCGCTTTATTGTTTTTTTTAACAAAATTCATTAGAGTCTAAATTTACCAGACATTATCGAAATGTAAGGTTGACAAAAACGTCTTGAAATAGCTTCGCTATAACAATGGCTCTTCGGGGACGGATATTGACGATCGACAAAAACATTACCTTGCCTCAGCGTTACGATATAAGCCTCAATTCAAAGGTTAATGATGACAGGCTGTGAGGGTCGGATGAAGAGGCTTTCGGCTTAAGATTTGATTACTTACTTAGCATAATTTTTTGACCTTTACTTTTATTAATATTTCACTCAGTATTTTCAGATTCTACCTTTTCAAGGTAACCAAATGAGACATTTTCTTTTTAAAACGCACGTCGCATTTAATAAACTAGCTAATGTTATTGAAATATATTTAATAAACTCATTACAATTCAATACAAATAATTGAATGTTTGTAATAAAGAAAGTCGTTTAATTACATTGTTTACAATTTTTTATTAAATATTTTAATCCTTTTTCACTTTATGAATATAAATTGCATAAACAAAGATAAGTACATTGGATTCATCATCAACATCGTGGAAATAATTCTACAATCTAACCGGAAACTGTTAGCATATTATAGAATAATATTATTTAGGTCTACACTTTGAGATGTTTTGAATTTGTCGTGGTACCAAGTAAAGCTAAATATGACTAAGTTGACGGGACTAGAAAAGGAGGTTCTTAGAAACTATAAATTTCATCCAGTGAAGCATTAAAAAACAAAAGTCTGTATCGTCGACGACACGAGGGCGTGGGCGAGCGGACCACTTGCCATGTAGGGAATGTTGACGTGAACCAAAGAGCTGTTACAAGGAAAACGGAGACAGTCGAAAGGCCGTCTTGAAACATACCTCGAATAAGCAAAAAAGGTTGAATATTTTATATATTACATTAGGACATCGTACAGTCATAGACACAATGCTGAATCGATTTACAAGTAATTAAGCTGATTCATTGAATTCGTTAAATTAACATGTCATCCCTTTTATTTGCTTTGAAAACATAGAGATAACAATATTTTTTTTGACAGCTGTTTCGCCATTGATCACGTAATATATCAAGCGTCGACACAATTCAGAATATCTTTCAATAACAACTATTTCGAGGATTAACTGTACAAGATTCTTACACTAATGGATACGAATGTCATATATTGATGTAAAAACACATGATTTTGGGGTCAATAATCGTCACATTCGGCAAGGTGAGCCACAGTTCTGCTCTGAGGCCACCTAGTGTGACGCACACGTTAGAACTGACTCATCCATGAGGCCGCGAGTGCGACTGGCACAGGCTATTTTTCTCGACAATTTATCGATAAATTATGTCTTCCTTTCTACTTCCGGCAAGTATGTTACTTAGCTAGCATACGATAGAACAATAAGCTTATAATATCCTATATGTAGGGTCATCATCAATCATCTTTTAGTATAGAAAAGTACATGTGTAATTAAAATAAAACGTAATAAAACATTATAAATTCATTGACCCTCCATAAATGCATTGACTATCCATCTGCATCTAGAATCCAGTCCGATATTGCCTACGCCACAGGCACACAGTGGGCGGACGCGGTGCATTAGTTCATTCCTTCAATTTATGCGCGCAGACGTGGAATGTTCGCTGCCATCTCTACCGGTTGTTAATACTCTTCTGTCAGTTCTATTTAACTAGACAATAAAGGTCAAAGACAAAAACAACGGAAGACAGAGAAGACCAGTGGTTCTCAAAGTGATCCAGGACTCTATGGCTCCACAAATAGGCGCCTTTGCGAAGGTGTTCGATAAAAAAGTTGATGGCTCTCAAGTTGATGAAGAACGTAGCATTTATCGAAGTTGACCAATCTCTGGACTAGATAAAAGTATTGAATTGTGAGCTGAATAAAGACAGTCTGTAGGTTACTTGCCAATACAACTAGGTAAAGAGTGAATAAATAACAAGTAAAATAATAATTCTTGATGAAATAAAAAACTGAGAATTATAAATATGATAAACATACATTTCTCAATACTTCGCAGTGTAAATAATATATTCATATATTCTAAATTTCACGAATAAATTACATAATTATTTAATCACAACATGTTATTACTACAATAATTAAAACACCGACGAGTTGTTTTGCAGGCAGATGTTTTGAAAATCATCTTGCTAAACTCGTTAAATGACCTCATTTTTCGGTACAACGTTCAAAAAATACTATGTAGAATTTAAGCGTGTTTACAAATAAATTACAGTAGATTAATAGTGGCAGATATCTTTGTTGCTCCATTTAATCCGAGTTTTTCGAGTTAATTTTGTTTTGCATAAAAATCATTTCGAAGAATGGAAGTGAAATAATTAATTATTACAACAAATATTTTTCCTTAAAAGGTAATCACAAAATGGAAAATCATTGTTTTAAAAATTATATATTTTTTTAAGTTTTGAGTCTTATGTTAACCAGATAAGGTTTAAAATATCTTGGCGGAAAGCACGAGCCATAAACGTTAGTTCTTGAACTGTTATGTCAAGAACAATTTCTTTCTTGATTCTTTACAGCATACATTATAAGAATAGCTGAACTGAAATCTAAGTGTTTCTTTCTTTAGTAAGAAAATAAACAAAAAGAACACTCTCGAAATGAAAGGATGTCTTATGTTTACTTTAAGGAAATTTAAAACATGGTAAGTTACTGTGACTTTCCACTACCGAAAGATTTGAAATTAATTATAAAAATATTTTTTTAATTACTTTTCTTCGCATTTTAACATTACCGTGGGTAACTACAAAACATATCGTTATCTCTGCCTTTTTAAACCGAATGAAAGAAATAACTATAGTTTTCGAGACATGTAACAAATTACTCTCTTGCATTTTATTGTAGTAAAAGATAAATAAAGCACTAAATAGAGATTTAAAGTATAACTAATAAAAAATCAAATGTACAGTTGGCAAAAAAATATCGTCATTCCATTTCGTACTGTGGATGTGTTAATTGCGTCGCTATTTCATATGACAAGTGGAGTTTCGCGATGAGGTTTTTTGCAACAACACACAATGGAGTCGTGAGAGCGGCAGTTAATTGGCCGCGAGCGATGGTATGAAGGTCGAAAACACCGCAACATTACCGCCCAATTGTTTTAAATTAAACACACATACTATTTTATAAGACTATCTTTCGAAATTAATAAAATTTTCAAAAGAAAAAAATTGGTACTAAAATTTTACACGTCTTTATAATAATTAATTATGCAAATATGTACACTAAACACAAAGAAATTTACTACAAAACACTAAACTATAATTAACTGTAGTCACCTAACCTATTTAGCATGTACCTATTTCTCCGTTTATTCTCCATCTCGTTCATATTCTCTTAACCCAAATATGGTTGATAAAAGAAGACTTAATTAGCCAATTAATTGATATTAAAATTTTACTAAAAATCATGGTCACTATATTGCACTCGTTTAAAATGTGATAACATAAAATAAAAACGCAACAAGCTTTAATACCGTTGGCCGAATATTACCAATGGGTCAGAAATAAATTTAAAAAAGCAATCATCGTATAAGATCTACAACGTTGTTGGATATGTTCGCAAAAACTGGTTCAATTTCACGGACAACCGATTATGTTGGTATTCAATATGTGCCCTATAATATATGTGATTACACAATCCCATTTCACAAGCGAAATCGACCTTCATAATGTGTGTTCAAGTTTAAACTCAAGATAAAAAAATATTCTACAGTATATAATAACCTAATGGTCCTTATAGTCTAGTTTGTAAATTAATAAATTGTTACCTAAATTATTCAAAGATAAATGCTCGCGTATCAAAGTCATGGTATTAAAAGTAATAAAAGAAAAAAAGTTAACGTACGAAACAATATCATTTCTACTACTTCTACTACTACTAATAATTTCACAAAAGAAAGAAAAAATAGG